CCCGCCCCGCCACCCTGTAAGCACACTGTTGCATGTGACAGTTCACGTGCGGGAACGGCGCGTGCGTGCCCTCCGTGTGGGTGTGCGACGAGGACTCTGACTGCGGCGACGGGTCGGACGAGGGCGCGGCGTGCGCGGGCCGGCGCTGCGCGCGCGACGAGTTCCGCTGCACGTCGGGGCGCTGCGTGCCGCGCGAGTGGCTCTGCGACGCGGAGGTGAACTCGCATTCGACAGCCGGAGACAGGGCAATGCAAACACCAACACACAAAAAAATACTTACAACCATCTTTCAACTGGAAGCAATTAGGTTTCATAAAAAAATAAACCACTTTTTTAAAACCCACTATTTATATACAGAAACGATTTATTAAGGTCCTTTCCTTTCACCAAAGACTTCCTTACCGCTCTAAAGACTATATCTTCTTTTGTTAAAAATTCTATTTATTGCCGCTTATGAATCGTCGTGAGATTGCCGACTTTATGTTTGTTCATAAAATACTAAAAAATAATATTGACTCTCCGGAATTACTATGTAAATTCAACTTTAGTGTGATATTGACCCGTTTCCAACTAGTCCTCATCGAGGAGTTGCCTGAGCCGGGGCTTTTACATATAATTTGAACGGGGGTTGAATATAAAAAAAACTTATGTATTTATATTTCCTGAGCTGACTGACAAATTAGTTAAGCAAACGTTAAGTGTAGATTTGTAAATAACAATCCTGAGTACGGAGTAGTAAAGTGACGATTTCATGTTAAACAAATGCCGCACATACCCCATGTCGCATGCTCGCCTGTGGGCGGGGTGTGGGCGGGGTGCGCGCGGGGTGTGGGCGGGGTGTGGGCGTGGTGCTAGCGAGGTGCGGTGCGCAGGCGGACTGTCCGGGGCGCGAGGACGAGGCGGGGTGCGAGGCGCGCGCGGCGGCGCCCTGCGAGCCGACCTACTTCCGGTGCCCGGACGGGCGCTGCATCCCGGGCCGCTGGCGCTGCGACTTCGAGGACGACTGCGGCGACAACGCGGACGAGCTGGCCTGCACGCCGCGCAACTGCTCCGAGTCGGAGTTTAGGTACGGACGTTCTTTTACCCCGCACCTGGCAACAGACCCTCTATCTCGACGACTGATCCATTTGGCAAAGTGTTCGGAGGACGAGTGGGGCGGCGAGAAGGTTCAGTTGAGACGTGGAAGGTGTGCAGGTGCGCGAACGGCGAGTGCATCCGCGGTGCGCTGCGCTGCTCGGGCGCGGTGGAGTGCGCCGACGGGTCGGACGAGGCGGGCTGCGCGCCCGACTGCAGGCCGCACGCTCGCCCCTGCACGCACTCCCGCCAGTGCGTGCTCAGGTACGGCACACTAATACTCACTCGGCTATGGCGTATCTTATTAAAATTGGAGTGTCTCTCACTGGAATGTTTCACGGAAAATAGGTTATGTGGGCAGGAGTAACATAAGCTATATATTATTCCACGCATACGTAGTTTCCGGCGAATGGTACTTTCAAATACAATTGAATTGTTAGCGAATGGTGGTGCGACGGCGAGGTGGATTGCGGCGACGGGTCGGACGAGACGGATTGCGAGGTGGCCGGGGGCGGAGCTGCGGGCGGCAACGGGACGAGCGAGCAGGGCTCGGCGTGCGGGGCGCGGCTGCGGTGCGGGCGCGCCTGCCTGCCGGCCGCGTGGCGCTGCGACGGCCGCCGCGACTGCCCCGACGGTGCGGACGAGGAGCCGCACATGTGCGCGCACACCGCCTGCCACCCGCCCATGCTCCGGTACCGCTCGCGCACGGCGAAAATACTAACTTGTAAGGGCGGGGTCGGCGCAGACGCAGGTGTTAATGCGAGTGCGATGTGCAGGTGCAGCGACAACACGTGCATCCCGCAGAGCTTGGCGTGCGACGGCCGCGCCGACTGCCCGGACGCCGGCGATGAGAACCTGCAACTCTGTACGTACCCGCGCACGTCCCAGCTGCTGGTGTGTGAGGCACCATGACTGCTATATGTTGCGTGTGTGCTGCAGGTCGAGCGGCGGCTGGTGCGGCTGGTGCGGGGGGCGGGGCTGTGTGCGGCGAGGGAGAGGTGCAGTGCGCGGAGGGGCGGTGCGCTCCCTCCAGCGCCGCCTGCCTCGGTACTTTATATTTGTATTAATGTGTTGTGTTAGTTACAGTTACATATATATTAGTATTGTTGTGTGAATTGTGTTCCAGAGCAAGGCGCGTGCAGCTGGCGCTTGTGTCCGCAGCTCTGCCTGCCCAAACACGAGCACAACTACACCTGCAAGTGAGTACCACTGCACCTGGTGGTCAGCTCCGGCTGTATCGACATACTGAATGAACTGCTGTATGTGTGTACAGGTGCGCGGCGGGCTACAAGCAGCGCCAGCTCTCCGACGGAAGCCTCACATGTGAAGCCATCGGTCGGTACTATTCTTGGGCAAAATCCTATTATGTTCATATTAAATCATAAGTTTATATTTTTTACGACGTTAAGTTAAGGCCTAGTCCAAATGTACGTTAATAATACGTTTGTTGTGGGCGGCGTGCAGGTGAGAAGGCCAAGCTGGTGGTGGCGGTGAGCGGGGCGCTGCGCCTGTGGGACCTGCACAAGGCCGAGCACGACCCCGAGCCGCCGGAGGAACCCGACAGGTACAACAGAGGAACTCTTGTGAATGTTGGTGCTGGTGGTGCGGAGGGTGCATCATATGTGTGTGTTTGTGTGTGTTGCAGTGCGGAGATCAGCTGCGTGTCGGTGGCGCCGCTGAACGGCACGTGGTGGGCGTACTGGGGGGACGCGCGGGGCCGCGTGCGCCGCGCGCCCCTGCCGCCCCGCCCCGCGCCCGCACTCGCCGCCGAGACACTGGTGCCTACCCTCCTGCCATACGTGCATTCTATTTGTGTATCGAGTATTTTCACATTTATACGTTTACCGTTGAGTTTCAAGCTATAATTTTAAAAGTGCTAAAGCACGTAATTCTCGCCAAAGGATTCTAACTAATAATGTCTAAAAAAAAGTAAGGGTTATTTTGAATTCTTTCAACACGATAACAAAATCGAATCAGATGTGTGTCGGACCCGTCCTACACTACATTCAAATATATATGATGGATCAGATCGAGGAGAGCGGCGAGATCCGCGGCGTGGGCGTGGACTGGGTGTCGGGGCGCGTGTACTGGACGGCGGTGGAGGCGGGGCGCGGCGG